GCACGTAAATGCACATAACCACGAAGAACGTTTTTACACCGATCCACTGTTCTAGCATGTTTTTCAAATTTTAAAATGAATTTCAAAAGTTTTAAAATTCATTTTAAAATTTGAAAAAATCATGGAAGTCTGGATCGGTGTAAAAACGACTTTCATGGACAGGCGCATTTACATGCTAAATTTGAGGGTGATCGGTCCATAATGAGACTTTTGGTACACCTAAATGCATCTAAACTTTTTGGAATTTTCTAACAGCCATAACTCCCGAACCGGATGTTGCGCGCACAAACGGTTTTCACGCCAGTGTATACAAATTTACTGGCTACAGAATGTCATAAACCGAAACAAAAATGTGTTTGGGAGTGCGCGAAAGTGAAAGTTTTCGCGCATGTACACGAATTTGGCGCCATGTAGTAAGTATCATTATCCTACGCTAACGATCATAACATTATAAATCAATACACATTACACTATCATTAATAATGATTTTTTTTCATTACTGACATTACTATTACCTTTATTTATAGTTATCAGTTTATGTTATTAACACCACGATTACGATCGTCGGAATAATCCTCATTATTAATGCCACCTTTTTATTAAAAAATATGATGATCCTTGTACGAACGTCTTACAAGGAGCGAGTCCATGACGATGTACTAAGAAAGTATGACCTTTCATAATTGTGCACAACCGGTCGTACAAGTGGATCATCACGAGTAAGGATGGTATCATCTAGAGCAATGCTGGAGCATACTGTAAGATTAGTAACTACTCAGTAGCACGCTGCTCATCCACGTCGCCCAGGTATCTGATGATACGAGCCCCGCGGTTGGCGGAGCTGCGCGGCCGTCCGGTGGGCGCTGTCCGGCGCGGGAATGGCCATGCCCCATCCATATCCATGGCTGGCGTAGTCCTCCGCGTACTGTTCTTGTGGCGCCATCTGGCGAGCGAAGCCATACTGATACTGGTCAGGCTGATTATACTGCCACTGGGCCAGACTGCCGTGGATGAGCGCCGCGATGCAAACGGCCACGCAACATACGCGGACGCTCGACATTCCCGGTTGACGACGATTTAAGCAGCGGAAGATTGACTGTACGGACTGCGGAGGTTCTAGTGGGTCTGACAAGAGCACCGTAACATTCAGGTAGCCACTTTGAAATGATAAAGTCCCACGGTTATTCTGCAGACAGTGAGTAATTTGTTTACCATCAGTCAGTGTTTTGATTGAGCGCAGTTTTGCGACGGGCTCCGGTTGCCAGGGATAGTGTGTCTGTAGTTGGGTGTTCGTGACACTGCACTTTCCGAATATTCTACGACATCACCATTTACACGCTGACAATTAATCGGCGCTTGCAATAATTATGTTCAAAGCAATTAAGAATAATAATTATTTACTGTTTTTATTCCAATTAGGTATAATAAAATTTATTATTTGTTGTAGTAAGAGGAACATGTTTTTGTACACAGCACAGCACCACTTTATTCTGTGTACTATTCGCTAATAGCATGTATTACGCATACCGCCTACTCTGTACAAACAAGCACCGACGTGCCCATAATAAACTGCGTACTGATTAGGTTTACTTGTTTTATGTGCGGCCAGTTAATTAAGTAAGTACTTACCTTTGTAATGTAATGTTTATATTTTTAATTAGATGTTCGCGTTGTTGTTACTTGTTGTATTCGGTATTTTTGTGACGGTGTTTTAAACGCCGCTCAAGGATATGCAGGTATCCAATAAAAACCTTATCAATCCACCGTAAGAACACGAACAGTTCCCCATACACTCATCGTATGATGTAATTGATAATTTTAAATAAAAATTGTTTAGGGTGCTAAGTTGCGAAATTTGTACTTGCTCATTCGAGACGTTTCCACAGAGAGCCTAAAATAGTGTCAATTATTAGACACAAGTGTCAATCTTTAAAATTTTTTGTCAAACTTTACGGTAAAAACTGTCAATCTTTTGAAAGTCGAAAAATGCAATAAGAAAGCCGAGGGGTATGGGATTTAAAAAATATTAAAGATATAAAAAAGATTACTGATTTTTACATTGAATCACGCAATACGCGAAGCGCACTACAAGTCATTACATCCGTCTATTGCTCAGTTCCTAAGAGCATATTACAATGGCGAGCCGTATTGTTTCAAACGAATGGCAGTACTGAATGCAGTGGTCGGGCATTAGGATGAGAAGTACTGAGTTGTCGTTGGCTCGCGTTGTAGCGGCAACCCCGCATTCATGTGACGTTGAGCTTGCAACCTTTTTCAAAGACTCGTTGCACTCTACCTTGACTGACAGAACGCAGCCAAACTACCTACCTAAACGTCCAGATTAACATGCCATTGCCTCCTTTAGCTGAGTTCGGTGTGTGTCCTGCTGTCAGGCTTTGGGCCGCTAATTGGATAGAAGAGAAAAACCGGGGCCCAAGCACCAAACCACCGACTAAGAAGTTACACACTTATTTTAATGGGACTCTCCGTTAATTTTCATGTTGCATCTGATTTACTAATTTGGATTATAAAATCGTTTTCTCAGGCTATCTAGTTGGCTATTTTTTATACAGCGGAATATATTGAGATTTCAGATTACGTAAATTAACGGCAATGCGTTACAACGCGTCTCGTTCGATAAGCTTTTGTTCAACTGAATTTTTTTCTTCGTTTCTTCGAAGCTAGAGTAGTGTCTTCAAACTGATTTTATTCTGTGCTTAAATAAATTCAGCGCTTTTGCATTTGTGCTTTTGCATCAACGCCCAAAATCAGCTGTGCGCGACGAATTCCCTCGTCTGCGGTCGACAATTGCCGAATCCCGTGCCGGCTAACCGAATTCGAGCATCAGCAGCGCTGTTGCGGCTGAGATTCGTGTTACCCGGCCAAGTCGTTCGGTAAGCAATTGCACCGCATTTCTGTGACCGCTGCTCATTTCTATACGTGTTGAGAATAAATACCATTTATGTAAATTCCCAACTGCATTGACCGATGCGAAGGAGTGTTGGTGTGGATCATGCTTTATACAGTGAAGCCGCTACGTCAACCGTACCAGTATATCAATATCAATAGATCCATATATCGCTACGTCCTTATTTTGTGGAAAATATCTCCTAATTCGAGATTAAAATTGTGAAACTTCTGATGGTTTTATAAAATCCAGCATACTTTCAAAGCTTCCTACCTGTAGCTTGAAAACAACTTTCGGTTTTCGGAACGTTTCTTAAAACGTTCAGACTTTCAGTACTGCGTTTAAAGTTCATAGAAATTTCCAGTTGTTGTTGTTGAGGGTTTTACAGCGTAGTCCTTGATTGGACCATTGCTCCAACAACTTCTGGTTGAAGTCATCTGTTCATGACAGCGGTGTTGGAATGTCAGCAAATTGTGGAAACAGCCTAAAATATTGGAATTTTAAAGATTGACGCCCCATGTGGGGGGAGGGGGGCTGCGGGCCGGGTGGGGGTGGGCAAGATTGTTTAAACTACGAAAAGCATGCACAAGGATTTTTGTATGTATTGTGAATGCCAAACGCTACTTCTGTACAAGTATACATAAGCAAATTTATCTGAATACAGCCGCACATGTGCGGTGGGGCAAATATCTGAGCGTACAGATAGTGCAGTGCCAGTGGTGGCGTAGCTAAAACGCTTTCGTCACTGATTTCTTTACGGGGCATTTACAAGAAAGCGGTTCAAGCTTTTTTGAAAATTTCAAGTGCTCTGTAAAGGGTACATCCTGATTAATCGGAAGAGGAAAAAACCCGAAAGAAAAATCGGTTTGTAGAAAATGTTATTTAGGGTGTTTCACTTAAACGACCATCGCCCATTTACTTATCATAATGTTTCGCTAAAACGACCATACGATGTCTACGAGACACCAGAACAACAGCCAGAACTGTAAGATTTGCTATAAACAGCCACATGTCAGATGTTGGAAAAGGCATGAAGTATTTCTCCGTTTTCTGATATGTTGATTGGGAAGTTTCTTTGGAAAGCAAACGGAAGACAAGCGCTGCAAGTTTTGGAGATTAACTGGCAGTCAGATGCTGGTACTGTGGTGCAAGATGAATGGCAACGCACGCATGTGATGCTATTAATAGCGTTTAGCATGCAAGTTGCAGACGCTATTAAATCCTCCGAAAACCAAGGTGGTTGCACTAACGATGCTTGTACCGTGTGCAAGTGGAAGTAAATTAATGCAAATAGAAAACACCAAGTTTAGAACGAGCTTGCAGAGCAGCAGCGCTCATACGTGGCCTTGCGCACTGAACAGTCACAGCTCTAGAATTATATTTAGAACAGGAAGGCGTACTTTCCATGTAACGCGTCCTTATATAATATTATAACAATCATTAAGTATCTACTCCGCAAATCATCAATAACACAGTGTATTGTAGACCGGAAATTCCGGTTTGGTATGGGGTAGATCATGCAGTTGCGCAGGCACCGGATAAATATGTCACCTTCAGCGCGGGATCTTGCTACAACTGTAAATAGGCATGATTTATTTAATCATTCATATAATATCAAGAGCAGACAACCCGGTTAAAGGAACTCAGCGCCCTGTCGGTCGGTGTCACAGAGAATATTAGCGATAACTGGGGAGAACCGATGTTAGTTGCGTCTTAATCACCCGATTTTTCATCGCTAAGTGCAGCTGATTTACCAAATACGAAAAAAGCAAGATTACAAGTTCCTTTAAACAAACAAGTGCACAAGTGTAAGCGGGGTTGGTATTAAAAGCATCGCATTACGGGAAAATCCATCTAAGCATGCCGTCAGCGTTTTTGATGTACATGCCATCTATACGCTGTACGTTCGATGCCATCTCTACGCAGTCACATACTGCTCCATGCGCATGCATTCTCGCTCTTCAGCATGCTTTCATAAGCCCGCTTCTGCGGCATATAGATAGTAAGTACTCAAAAGCACGGTATTAACAGTAAATACCCCTGTGCTGTACTTATGGTGCTTAGTCTTATACTGATACCACATACTGTATGTGCTGCTCATTTTGATTTCGTTTTGCACCCTATAAAATGAATTAATTCTCCAGTGTAAACCGCGTCACGCAGGTTGGTTTATGCAGTACAGTACCATTCTTCCCTGTCCTTCGTGGTTTATCACGGATTGAAAAACTGAGAGTGCTGTAGAGAGGGATTTATTTTATGCCATTGCATGCGAGACATTTGGCAGTTGGTGTTTGGCCGCAATTGTTTTGTTAAAGGAGATCGGTAAGAAAGTGTTTATTAGAGCGGATGAGAGTCGCTACACTTGGTTTTTGCTTCAGCGTTTAAGTTTGGAAAGAATGTAATCGGCAATATACATTCAGTTAACAAGGGTTGCGGGCGATGGTACACTACTTGATAGTTAAAATTTAAGCATTAAAAAGCAACCAAAATCTCTTCGGAAAAGCAGCAGGACGCGCTCCTCCAGTTATGTTCCAAATTTTACGGCAGATAAAATGTAAGAATTAACTTAACGCCGTACCAAATACTCCCAAGACTCCCGTCACTAGAGGATAAGAAGGGATACCTTCTTTGCCAAAAAATATTTCGAACAAAAATACTGGAATACTTTGAATTTTCTGTTTCTGTCATGAGCATTTACGGTTGGATTAGGGAAGCTGAACAATTGTACAATTGTATTTAACACGTGGGAGGAACTGCACCCACCAAACCGCCAACCGGGGCTTCCGGTCTGCGCTGCCTTCAGAAAGTGTTTACCTTGTACAGCAACAGAAAATTTTGTGTTTTCTTTTTTGTGGACTGAATACTCTTTTGCAAATCGGCCAATGATAAGCAGGAGTACCAAAGTCGTATACTAGTGCGTACCGCTATTTTTATTGGCTGTATAGCGTAACTGTTTTTGTCTAATTAGAGGTACTTACATGATGGACAGTAAGAAGCTGTACCGAATCCGTCAGCATACCGCGCAGAACGCTGTGTGGATTTTGGCTGTTGCCGTGCAAGCGTTATTTACGGTCTTGGAGTGGAGCGACTTCTGGCTGCAACCAGGGCCAGCCACCACGCAAAACAGATTCCTGTGTTTTTTCATCAACGCGCAATCAGCGCTGTGCGCGACCATTTCCCTGTTATGTTTAACCGCGTTGGCGCTGCACGGCCGACAACTGGTCAGAACGTTGGCCGAGATGCGGAGCGTCGTGATTTCCCTGGAGAAAGGTCACTGCGTGGAACGGCAGCTACGAACGGCCTGGATGGGCCTGCACGTGCTTGTCCTCGGGTTTTTAACGTACGCCCTGGTCCTTCTGCTGCAGCCGTTGGCCATAAGCCCGGACGATGCCAATACCACCAATTACGCTTTCTTTAATGTGTCGCCGCAGCAGCGCCAGACACTGCGCCAGACCATCAGAATCAGCGCAATGGCGATCATTCAAGGCGCTTACTCCACGGTGACTCTCCTGCTACTTAGATTTGGCTATACGGCAAAGTCCTTCAATCAGCAGTTGCGAGAATACTCCGCAAACAACCGACACCGCAGCAACATCCGCCGGATGGAAACGCTGGACGCCGCCATGGACCAGTCGTTCGACAGCACGGACGCCATCGTCGGCTGGCCGGCGGTGACGTTGTTTCTGGTCTGCTTCGTTGCCATTATGGAGGGTGTGGCACATATTGTGGAGTTTCCCAATGAGCTCGCTAGTGACAACATCGCTAGACTACTGGCTTTTCCGCTCTATTATGGCTGCCTCGTCATCTCTACCGTGCTACTGGCGGAATGGAGTGCGAAGCAGGTACGGTTACGCATCGTATCTGTCAGTACGTATCGACTGCGCGCCCCAGTTTCCTTTACACAATACTTACATGCGCAGTATTTCTAATATATTGTGGGTGGTCTAAATCCTTAACTACGTCAAAGCCTTAAAGGTAAAGTACAATCTTGCCCCGCATATTTCTGTCGTAAACATACAGATAGCGCGAATTTAGTACGACGATTGTAAATACACTACGCTTACTAGTATGTCGAAATACTCCTGTAAATATTTATCGATATTTTATATGGATATTTAAATTTATATTGATTATTTTAATTTATAAGGATATTTTATAATTTGGATCGATATTTAGCATGCATCAGCCGTGCCAAATGCATGTATGAGCGTAACTAGTGTGGCATGGAGCGCCGTAATATGGAGTTTGGCGTTTAACCCGTGAATTTGTATTTGTCGCTGGGTTTATCCGCTAGAAATTACGGAACAAGCTTGCACAATGATTAAAATTGATGAAAATATTATTTCCGCATAGGACGTTAATAAAAATAAATGAAGAATAGAATTAAAATAAATTTACTACCTTGTCTATTCAGCAGGTGTGCTCTCTGTGCTTTAGAGATTTGAAACAATTATAATATGGAGCCGGATGATCACTCAAAATAATGAGCAGCCCGTCCAGGAAAGCCGCCAGAATGGGAATGGGCAGGTAAGCAAAATCAGTATAGCACTAGTCTGCAATCGATACGTACTCTGTAGTACGTGCTACGTACTAACCTGGCGCATACTCTAAAACAAATCGTGTGCTGTGTTGTTTCTGCATATGTCTGTATTAGTTTTACGTACTCGTGAGTTGAGATTGTTCTCTTAATACAAGCAGCCTGTACAACGGCCAGGAGCGGAAGTGCCGTTACTAATCGCAGTTGCGGCACAATCGTTTACTGCTTAATTAGCAAATTTTGTCGCTGCAACAGGTGGGACTGGCATCGGGCGGAAAAACTGAGCCTATGGGTCATCCAATGCCGGATACCATCAGTCGCAATCGTTTACTCGTGGCGCCGTACGACAGCTTAACCTGCAAATATTACACCGCCGCGGAATTCTTCTTGTTGAACCGTGCCGCATTGCTGCAGGTAATCACTAATCAGCATATTCAGCGGTGACTGTTCTATACGGCCGGGATTTGCCCCGTACATAGCACCAAATTTGTGTACATTGACGGGAACATTCACCTTCGCACACTTCCAAACACTTTTTTGGGTTGTTTTTTGAAATTGTGTGGCCAAATGATTTGTATACATAGGCGTGAAATCGGTTTGTGCGCGCAACATCCGGTTGCGGAATTATCAGGGTAACAAAATTCCAAAAAGTTTAAATGCATTAAGGTGTACCAAAAGTGTCGTTATAGACCGATACCTTTCAAATTTTGCACATAAATGCACGTAACCATGAAGATCGGTCTTACACGGATCCAGACTTGTACGATTTTTTCAACTTTTTAAATGAATTTTAAAATTTGTGAAATTCATCTTAAAATTGTAAAAACATGCTAGAACAGTGGATCGGTGTAAGAACGATCGTCAGGGTTATGCGCATTTACGTGCAAAATTTGAAAGGGATCGGTCCATAGTGACACTTTTGGTACACCTGAATCCAGTAAAAGTTTTTAGAATTTTGTTACCCTCATAACTCCGCAGCCGGATATTGCGCGCGCGAACGGATTTCACACTTATGTATAAAATTCTTTCGGCTACAAAATCCCATAAAGCAATGCAGAAAAGTGTTTGGGAGTGCGCGACAGCGAAGGTTTCCGTGGATGTTTCGGTCCTGTGTACCGGGCCCAATCCCTTAATTAGTACTACACCATCTGCAAGTACAGTAACGCCAAAAGAATACATTAATTATCCTCCACCGGTGTAGAGAGTACTCTGCATGAACCGGCTGCACGGTACTTAGATGGCACAGTAGGTTTTATTACATTTAGCTCATCGTGTGTCGCTTTAGTAGAAATAGTACTTTTGTCGTGTATAAGCGTTCACGCTGGTTAGAGCTCCATGAACTATCTTTACTCTTCCACGCCTGTAAATGTCAGTCGGTAGGCCCTCGTACTCTCAAACTGTAACAGATAAATCACGGTGGAAATAGACGAACGAATCAGGAACACAGGAACTCAGGAATCCCTCAGGAACACGCTAACCACAACTTCCGGTCGTAAGTCCTGTGAGGATCGGCAAGAGCTAGGACGATTGTGTCACGAGCAAACCTGTATTCTATGCAATAATCCGGGAGCGACCATGTACATCAGAAGGAACAAGTATTGCTGTCTCTTTATCCAATTCACATCACAGTTCACAACGCTAGGAAATTGTAATTAGAAAGCAGTCTCAGAAGTAAATCTCAGACTACTGATGTCGATATTAGGAGTAACAGGAACTTATATAGACTTCGCGTTATGACATCATATACACCGCTAGTAAAAGAGAACAGCAAATCACAGAAGAGATTGACTAGATTATCCGTTTGTGTTGCAGGTGGAAGGCGGACAGTCAGCATCCGTACGTACATCCGGCGTGTGATCCTACTCCCACACGTCAACCCCACGAACGATGCTTGGCCGTGCCAATATAAACAATCCATCCCGCAACATCCCAGTGCGATTGTGCACTTTATCCATCCTGATCCCGATCCACCGCACAATCCACGTGTCCACCCGATGCCCGATGTGACTGTACGCCGCGATTCCCAGAGAGTTAGTGTGTGGAATCCTTGGCGAAGAGGCATCCGGAAGTCCACGGGTTTGGCAGGGCGGAGGTCCAAGGGGTTCCAGGAACTACTAATTACTACTACAATCTGTGCCGTTTGATAAATGGTGTTTGGATTACGGCATAAAGCTTTATTGAACGCTATGGCAAGATCTTAAAGTTGAATATGGTTTGTTGACGAAAACTACTATGTATTAATGCATTAAACGAACCCATGAATCATCCGACTGGTATTCTTACGAATTCTCGAATCCAGATTGCATCACAATAACAAGGTCAACAACAACAAACAAGCTAAACATAGTCGTATAAAAATGATGAGTACAAATTACTGGTAGATGAGACCAAATTTTAAACCAGCAAAAGGAATGACAGTAAGATCAACACGGCTTCGGTAAGGCAAAATCATCAAGCAACACAAAACCAGTAACAAGGTGAGATCAAGAAAACAAAAGATCAAGGACAAAGGTTATTCAAGGTTACTTGCCAGCGCTGGGAGCCAATGAAAACAACCCAGTAATACCCGAGCCAGACGCTGCAGCGGCATCCAAATGGCGAGAAACATCAGCGGCCATCTGTCGTCGGCGATCAGCATCCAATTCACGCTGCTGTTGCTGGGCCAGATAACCAGGCACAAAATTATGCTCAGCTGAACCAACGGGACCGGAAGGAGCGGACGGCGCACGTGGGCGATCAGCCGGTGAACGGTCGCGGGCATCGCGGACAATCGGCACTTCAGCAAGTGGCAACACATTTGGCGGCAAACCGGGAAATTCAGCATTAACCTGGGCCTGCTGCTGCATAGGTGGAATTACAGCCGGAGGAATAACAGGATCTAGGGCTGGCGGGCCATGTAGATTGACAGCAGGGTTGACAGCATCGGGCTGACCTGGAACCACAGCTCCGCCGACTTGGCCCTGATTCGGTGCATTCGCCGCTTGGTTTCCCGGGAAATCAACCTCCATGTCTGCGGCGGCAGCTTCCACTGGTGCAGCTGCGTTAGGAGCTCCATCAGGTATTTCAATAACCTCCGGTGCGCCCAAATGTCTCCCATTACGACGCCAGTGATCGTTTCCGCGACGGAGATTATTGTCTCCAAAATTCCGATGACTTCCTCGGCCGTACGGACAAAAGTTGCCACGGAAAGCACCACGGGCTCCACCACTTCCTCGGTGATTATAACCGGCATTATACTGTTGCTGCTGGTTGGAAGACGAATGAAAAATGGCGTCTACCAACTTATCAAAAGCTCGGTTAGGATCAGTAGGCGGCATGCCCAAACTAAAGAAAACTAGTGACCTTTAACGCTTAAAAGTGCAAGGAGAAAAGCATCAAAATCGCAGTCTACACACACTGAAAAACCCTACATTCCAGAAGGCCGAAACGAAAAATCCACAATGCCGATTTCTGCACGCTACACGCAAGCGATTTTATAGCTGCCTGCTTAAGTGAAAGTTTAAAATGCGGCAGATTCCATACAGGTATGAGAAACAGCCAATCAGCGCTTCGCGCTATATCCTTTTAATTCAACGTAATCAAAAATCAGATCTATCCAGGTACAACTGAAGATTCAACACCGATAACTATAGCACAAATGCAAATGCACAAAAGACCAGTGCATTGACTCAGCGCGCGGGCAAAATCGGAGAATAAATTTTGAAAATAAAACTAAAGAGCGCACCGTTCCCATTAATCGAAAACACAAATTGTGATCGCAACAGATTAATTCAGATCCATCGCCGTGGAATAGAATAAAAGACGGCGGTGTTTGCAAAAATAGGCAACGAAAAATAGGAAAATAAAAACGAGATGCTACACCCGTTTGCAGCAAGATTACCATTCAGCAGAGTGTGGCTGCTGCACCAAATTACGACTAACAGGAGCAATAGGCTGAGGGGCAACAGGTTGAACAACTACCGGAGCAACATAAGGTGGCTGTTCCTCAAATTCAGGCGAATCTTCCCGCGGGACAAATGCAATCGGGGCAACAACAATCGACGATGGAAGAACGACAGCTGGCTGCAAGGATGGCAACGGGTCAACGTCCATCTTTTCCAGATCCGAACCGTTATGGCCATCATCATCATCAACATCCATATCCTCCACTTCACCAGCAGCATCAGCATCAGTATCCTCACGACCAGACACCGCTGCGCTAACATCATTATCGTAGTGCTCCACTGAGACTTCAGAATCAGACGATGAAGAAGATGGGGACACCTCTTTGTATGGACGCTTTTCACCCCGAGTACGGAAGTTATACGGTCAAGCGGCGGAAGTGGATGCCTCCGGTTCAGTATTCTCTACAGCATTAGCGTCAGCAACCGCCTGACGCACAACCGCATCCGCCTGTTGGCGCTTGGCGATTTCTTGAAACAAGGCAACAAAAACAGGATTTAGATAAAGATACTGGCGGCGTAGTTCTAAGGCAATAGCTGTGGGCAAACGGCAAGTGATCTGACATAAGTCATAACGATTTATAAGAGATCCATTGGTATACAAAAAGCCAGACAAATATAACTCCGAATAACGAGGATGAAAACGATTAAGGCCAACAAAATATGCCTGCGAAATAACCACATCCTCACCATTCTTGTTTGCGATAGCCATTCTTGGAAATACTCCGGAGTGCGCTCGTTTGCGAGCCGTCTGCTTGGTCTTGAAGACCGGCCGCGGTGCATCCGGGTTATACGGTACATAGAGGATGCCCCCCTTACGCAGATGCTCCTCATCTGGCGTGAAACAAGAACCAACAATTAGCCGAAATACACGCTAATTGTACGGTTCATAGAAAGACACACAAGATCAACATAACGAAATTGGCCTGCTGGCTGCCGATGGGAGTAGAAACATACGCAGAAATAGCGAAGGTAAAGAGTACACACTATAGACAAGACGCTGTTATTATAGAATTACAAACCACAACAATACTACATTATGGGAATAATGGCAAGAATACCTCGCTTTGCACGCACTGACGGAGTCTCAGACGACGAGAGCTCCTCTTCAGTAAGATCTGGGGTACCGAGCTGCTTCTCTGCCTTCTTCAGCACTTTCTTGGGAGACAACTGACGGATCTCAACATCATGATCAGCAGGGAATGATCCGCGACGGTCATGACGGCGAACCACAGCTGCATTGCGTCGAGCAATAACACGACGCTTGGTCTCGCGATAACGGTTCTTCAGCGCATCAACCACTGCTTCTGTCCTACTGGTTGAAGGCTTGGGACTCTTTACCGCACCCACACTCCCCGATGGTCCAGGAGATTGAGCTGAAAACGCTGACTGTGGCGAGGTGCGACGAGAAACCCGTGCTCGCGTCACTCTACTGGAAGAGCGAGCTTCATCGCCATCTGGGGAATAACTAAA